ATTTCACTGCTCCCCTTCCTCAGTAGAGGCTGCCCCTTTTCTTTCTATTTAATGACTTCAAGCCTTATTCCAGCTTACTTTCTATATAAGCTGCGTTACTAACTGTCCAGGTGACTCGGTGAAAGCTTTTCACTGAAAAGGCAAGCATTTCCAGTCACACCAGTCAATGTTTCCTTGCAACCTACCTAAAATGTATATAATTCTTTGTCCTTGGGATATAGGAGAAAAGAATACGAGGATATGTTGAGTGAAGAACAAAACGGAAACAATCTAATATTTTGTTTCACTCAGTTGAGATGGCAAACGTTTTTGTTTATGAATAATCAGAAAGTAAAATACAGTTAGGAAGGAAACCACCTTCCATCAAAACGGTGATTAACTTAAGCCTGCCTCCCCACACGTACATGTTTGTAAGGCAAAAATGTAGAAAAAATGATCAACTATCAAAACCCCAAAATGTCGCAGCCACTCTGGCCGATGTTGCCCTTGCCTACAAGGAAATGCTCAAAGGCCGACGCCTCCCCGTTTTCTCCAAATTGCGAGCGAGCACCACGCCACCCGCAGAGTCCTGCCAGTGGCGCTCGTGGCGGCGGCGGAGCCCCGGCCTCGGCCGAGGCGTTCTCACGACTCACCTGGAGCGGTGCGACCGCAAAGCGGCGGCGCTCGGAGCCGGAGCCCGACAGTGGACGAGGCTGCCGGGAGGGGGCGCCAGGGGAGAGGCGCCCAGCGGCAGAAGCCGGGCGCCGGCACCTCCACATTCCGACCTCGTCAGGGTCCCCGAGTTGCAGGGACTGGACGGGATGGACCGAAAACCCCTAGGAGTTTCTGCCCTCCGATCTTTTCCCTGCAGCCTCCTGCCCCTGAGGTCTTGGGTCTTGGACGCTCCGTTCTCGCATATCCTCGGGCCGAACCCCTCCCTGACGCTGGTGTTTCCCAAGTCCAGCCTGTCAGGCATTCGTGCTTTCCTCTCCGTCGAGGGTGGACCTCTGACTACACAATTCCCTCCTTGTCGCGATCTCGGAATTCCAGCCAAGGGCTCTGATGGAGGCGGGGGAGAACAATTCACCGCACGACCCTCGGCTGGCTCGGACACGTCCTCTCGGGGTCGTGGGGCTGGGCCGCCGGCCAGGTTTTTCTCTGAATCTGTCCCTCTTCTGGGTCTGCTCTCTGCGGCCAGGAAGGACCGGTTCCCCGAGCGAGGTCAGGAGCCTGGCACCCTTCCCTTTCCGTGCGTCGAGATGAACCAGGGAGCGCTTTATGAGGTTTGCCCCAGCAGTGCAGGTCCCCCGCCCCGACAGTGCCCCTCCTGCTCCCGCTCCCTTTGTCCTGTGCACGTGGAACCCCAGAGGACATAGACGCGACAGGGAGGCGGCGAGTCCTCTCCCCCGAGTGGACAAGGCGGGCGGGACATCTCACGGAAGTTCCTGATCTAAAGCTGCCCCGAAGTCCGTCTCTTGGGGTGCTCGGCCTTCAGTAGCCGCTGAGGATGACCTCATACTCCAGTCACGTCCAGGTCTCCGGTTTGAGCCAACAGAACGGGCGGTGCGGCACGGCCTGGGGGCCCGAGGAGCCTCCGGCCGGCGCCTTCCCCGGCGTGGGCGCCCTGGAACCTCGCGGGCAAAGGAGACGCGCTGGCCGCTTGCCGGAAGAGAAGCGGCTGCTGGAGAGCACGGCTCGGTCCTCCCCAGACTTTTCCAGTTTTCCTTCTGAAGGAGACCAGCGGGGCAGGCGGAGAGCGGCGGCAGCGCGCCGAGGGGAGCGAAGGCACGGGCGTCCTTACGCAGAAGAACCTCTTCCCAGCTGCCTGGCCTTTGCTGTGAGGCGAACACGAGGTCCCAGGCCTTCCGTGGAAACGGCCGTCGTCTCCGTCGGTCCCAAGTGAAAATGAGCACTGCGTGACCCCTGGGACGGGAAAGTTCCCAAAGCCCAAAAAAGGCGTTTCGAGTGTTGTGAAGGGTAAAACGAAGCCGTCCCTCAAAAGCAGTCCCCAGACTGACGAGCGACACAGGAGCAGCGGTGAAATCGGCGCGGGCCGCTGCACCCGAGTCTAACCCGCGTCAGTCGCGGCCTCGTGGCGCCCAAGCGTGGCTTGACCTGGGTTGATGTCCCGTGCGTTAAGACAGCCGACGCCCTGGGACGCTGCCACCGTACCGACTAAAACCTGGGGTCGCCATTCCACCACCGGATTTGAGTCGCGTTGAAGGGAGTAAGCGACTGCGGAAGGAAGCCGAGGGGTCTCTGTGCCGGGAGGACAAAGCGCAGACGCTGGGGAGGGCGCGGGGAGGAAGGGTTGTGCGGTTCCCGGTGGGCCCGAGGCGGCCGTCATCTGCCGGGAGCCCAGCGCGCTGACGGCCGGCGCCGAGGCAAAGTTCCACCGAGGCGCCGCGCGCAGCTCCGAGGGGGCGCGTCCACGAGCCTGGCCCCGCCGCCCCGGACCCGCCCGCGGGATCCTGCAGCTTCTGGGGCTGCAAAGTCAGCGGGGAAGAAGAATGGCCCCCAGCTCTCCCTCTGGACCCGGAAACCCCGTGTGAGATGCGGGATGCCAAAGCCAAGAGTGGGGCCTCCAAGGGACCCTAAGAGAGGACCCATCCAGAGCTGCAAGCTCCTTGCCTGAGGAATCAGGGGTGCTTCCCGGGACTTTGTTATTTATTTATTTATTTATTTTGAGTTTGGAAATGCAGTTGACCTTTGTAGATTAGAAAGTGTTGATCATTGAAGATAGATGTCAGGTTTTCTGAGGCATATCCCAGAGCCTCCTTGCCGCCTGGTTTCCGTAGTGTAGTGGTTATCACGTTCGCCTCACACGCGAAAGGTCCCCGGTTCGAAACCGGGCGGAAACAGGGGAGTGGCGATTTTTGGTTTGTTGGACCCCTAAGTCACCAGGATGAGGGCATTTTAATGTGGGGCCTGAGAGAGGTAATTAATTAGACTTAGAAGAGGAATAAGACGGTGGTTTGCAAGCCAGGAAGAGTGCCCTGCCAAGGAACCGAATCAGCTGGCACTTTGCTAGTGGCAGCCTGCATTAAAATAGCTCACTAAGGGATTCAATGACAGGACTCTGCAAAGTTCATCATCTCCTTAGTTTCTTAGGTCAAGTAGTTCGTTGTCCTTAAATGTGAGTGCTGGCAAGAGATACTAGAATGATGAGCAAGTGGGAAGCAAGAGGCAGATAAGGTGCTAATGACTTAACTGATGAAAACAGGGATACTACACGGATTCAGGCTGCAGTTGTGTCCAGATTTCAGATGTGGACGGTTCACACAGGGTCCAGTGTGGAAGTGGATGGCATGGAATAGACTGGCTGAAGGGAAGCCAATTTTTCATCTGCTTTTATTAGTGGAAGTAAGAGATGATAGGTGGAAAGTAGTTCAAAAAGTGGCAGTAAGCTTGTATTCAATAAACTTATGCCCTTTTTACATTAAACTGGAAGCAATTTACATTGTGAGAATGAGAAAGTGTATCCAAAGAGTACAGCAAGATTTGGCTTGGGAGTAAGTAAATGTACTCATCAAGGGTACACATAGATTGTAGTGACCAATTCAAGCCCTCAGGTGATACCCTGCTCTTCAGGAGGTGCTGTTCTTGGGTCTGATCATAGAGTTTTGCCGTGCAGAGTGATGTCGAGATGCTGACAGGGAACTGTCTGCTGTGTTGAGCATTAGCATTTGACCTGATGCAGAGATTTAGCAGAGACTCTAAGATGCATGCAACATTGACCTGAGAATTGGAAGTTGAGAGTAGGAAGTGCAGGTTTGTGAGAATAAATATAGATGTTGTTGGCATATAGAGGTGGTATTTGAAGGTGTATTGGCCAGACCTGGTGTGTGTCTTGGGTGATGGACAGAGGACAAATAAAACCAAGGCTATGCAACCTCAAAGTGAAGGTTGATTCCCTTGCTGAGCCCTAAGTTCTGACCCAGCGTGGACCTTGCATGGCCTCTCAGTGAGAGAAGCACGATCCCCTGTCACGGCTCCTGTCCTCCAAAGCCGTCAGGACTCCCAGACCTGACTTGGGGAACAACAACTCTCCAGGTTCTTCTCCTCATCTTCCTTTCCCCAGGGAGAACTGGGTACAGAACTCTCAACTATTTGAACTTCATCAAAAGACCAATATGTTAACATTTCAACCATCAACATTTCTTTAAAATAGCCACGTCCTTACATAGCTGATAAATTAAAGCATACTAATTGAGGAAATTGGATATTCCGAAATAAATCAACATTGACCTCAAGAGTTGTTGATCTTTTTATACCACACATCCCTTTAAATACTTTAAACATCTTATAAAGTAGACACCATGCTATTATCATCAGATTGGTTATTACTTTTACAAAAAAAAAAAAAACCTACAAAGTACAGTTCCAGGAACCAAAGTTTACTTCTTCATTTCTCTATGTTGATTCTGTCCTTTGGTTTCCTTTCTTTTGCATCTACTGCTGCTTATTTCTCCCCTGCTCTGAACTTTACTTACCTAACCCTCCAAGTTAGGTCACCTTCTAAGAACCACTAAGGCAACACTTGGAAGTTGGCCATTGGAGACAGCAGTAGAAACAAGCAACCTGAATGAATTTCTGATGTTTCACTATGGAGATCTGTCATACAATTGGAAAGAACCTTTTTTGAGTTGCTTCAGGTAAAGTTAGACATTTTGATATTTATAGTTTTGTGAAAGTCTTCTATTAAAAAACTTCTGTATGGGTGCTTTTATTAGCTTTTACTTAACACTATAATAAACCACTTTTGCAACAATGGCTGTCTTTGGGGATACTCTCAGTATTTCCTACTTTGCACTAGTAATTATAGGTGTGTTGGTGGCTCAGTGGTAGCATTCTCAACTCTTATGTGGGAGACCCGGGTTCAATTCCTGTCCAATGTGGTCCAGCTTTTCGCATTTTTAGATTTTTAAACTTCTCTGCAAAATTACACTGCATAGGTCAGTGCTAGGACCGTTGCCTAGGCGACCCAGAACTGATGACACGTACCACCTGAAGCAGAAACACAATCTGAGAAGAATCTCAAAGTTACTGTGCTCAGTAAGAGCGTAGGAGAGTTTTTGCAGTTTAGAATGTTGGTTCTTGGAGCCACTGCCACTACCACCTAGGCTCCTGGATGGTCCCTGAAAACTTCAAGAACACCCAGGTCCTCGATCACGAAGTGGACCTTGGGCTGAGCGCTGAGCCACCTCCCTGTGGAAGGAGAGGAGCCGTGGAGCCAGCGGGCACACCCGCCTGGGCCTGGGGCACAGACACCGTGAACCAGATTTGTTGGCCTCTGCCACCACCTCCGCTTCTGCGGGTTTGAGCGCTGTTCTGAGAATGGGTCTGCATCCCCCGCAGTGTGTGCGTCAACAGGTGTTGGCCTGAAAATTACATCTTTAATAAAAGAAAATGAAGTGTTTATCTTTAAACAACAGTCAAATGTTGAGAAAGAAAATGCATCACATCACCCCACCCCTTGCCTGCATCTGCTCTGTACCATCCGCTCTGTGCCTCAGCTATATATACACTACCTTTTACAATAAAGTGAGACCCTGCTTCGACTGGGCTCCCCACTGCACCTGATTGCCCCCCCCACCCCGGTTTGAGGAAGGCTGAGTGGTGGGTGGCGCACTTCTCCTCCTCAACCAAGGCAAGCTGCAGGCAGCCTGCCTAATTCTCCAGCAGAGGCGTGGAAGAGTCACTGCACTGACAAAAGGTAAGCGTCCTAAAATTTCCTTTCTCTTCCCTGAAAGAACCTCTATCCCCTGTAGCCTGAGAGCTGAGACTGGGGGAAACCACACATCCTGAGAAGAGGGGCTGAGTAAGAAAGCAAACTGAATTGCCAACTGGTGAGGCCAAGGCAACTTAGGCTGGCTGACAAGGTCACAGCAGAAGGTGTCTCAGCAAGGCGTGAGAATGACAGCTGTGGTCCTCTTGGTGGTTTTAGATTTGATGGGAACTACACTCTGCATAAGAAAGCCAGAGCTTCCTGGTGGTCCTGCTAAGGATTGCTGTATTTCTAACTTAAGGGAAGAGAACTTGGTCTCATAATCCCCAAAATGTACATTGTTTTGTAGGATTTTAATCGAGTTAAATGTTAGTGTAGGAGAAGGGGTTGATGCTTTATGCAAGGTTGAGCTGTTTGTTGAAAAGAATTAAAAGGCAACAGGCTCCCTGGTGTATACTTCCCACTAAAACAAAGATAAATGTTATTAAAGCTTTAATTCAATATGTGCTACAAATACAACAATGGTTAGGATGTCTAAACTGTGGAATAGATCTAAGTGAACCTTTAGATAAGTGCAATAAAGAAAATAAAGAGTTACAGAGAGAACTACAAAAGAGGGGATACATTTAAAAAGGGCCTGCTTTGAACTTGGGGCTTTTAGTAAAGATTAGATTAGGAAGGTACTATTCTAGCTTGTGTAGCCAATTTCTGTATAGCTCGACAGCACTCCAGGCCTGGGCTTGTGTGGGCAGCCCATTGTCTCACACCTGTCTGTGATTGTAACCCATGCACTAAATATGCCCTTGAAAAATAAAGGAATTGCAACTAGATGTAGACATAGAATCTAGAGGCACCATAAAATACGTCAGTGGTTCTAAGAAAATGGAAAACGGATTTATTATTGTAAGAAGAAAGAATCATATGTGATTTATACTTTTTTTTTTTTTTTGACAGGCAGAGTGGACAGTGAGAGAGAGAGACAGAGAGAAAGGTCTTCCTTTGCCGTTGGTTCACCCTCCACTGGCCGCCGCGGCTGGCGCGCTGTGGCCGGTGCACAGCGCTGATCCGATGGCAGGAGCCAGGAACCAGGTGCTTTTCCTGGTCTCCCATGGGGTGCAGGGCCCAAGCACCTGGGCCATCCTCTGCTGCACTCCGGGCCACAGCAGAGGGCTGTCCTGGAAGAGGGGCAACCGGGACAGAATCCGGCACCCCGACTGGGACTAGAACCCGGTGTGCCGGTGCCGCAAGGTGGAGGATTAGCCTAGTGAGCCGCGGCGCCGGCCTATATGTGATTTATACTATGAAAATAAAGTCTAGTACGTGAGTGCTAGAGCCATGCCTTCAGCCTTGCTGTGAATGTGTCTCTCATTTCTTCCTGTGCCGACGCCTCTCACACCTTCAGGAAATGCTGGACTGGCTGGAGCTGGACTCTGGCACCCAACTTGCACAGTGTCCACTGTTAAGTGAGGGAGTCGATTGAGAAGGGCTGGAATCATGGGAAGTGAAAGCAGCACATGTGAGAAAAGCCAGATGAAGACACAGGCATCAAAGCTCTAAATTTTGCTGTGTTCTCCTTGCCAGTAAAGGAGCCTTTCAACACACATTGGAGGAGATTCACTCAACTCTGCCTGGGGAGCCTTCAGTGCTATCCTCTGAGGCAATGGCCTCAGAATAGAATATGGAGTCCTCATGGACTCACCCACACTTGTCTTCTAAACCCCTGAGGAGGTGCAGTATATTCCAAAAGAGCTACGTGACTCTTCCAATTTACAAAGACAGAAACACATGAGATATATGTGGAAATTAACATTAAGGGTATAGAATAATAGTGAAGGAAACATAACATTGGATGGATGGACTTCCAGAATGCCTTACTCACAGTGTGGTGACGATGGCGTGGCTTCTGGTCAAGGAACTCACTCTGTAGCAAATGAGTTGCAGCTGTGGGCCTACACTCATGGAACTCATTGATTTCACCACATTCTCTCACATCCTGAAGCCTCTGGTCTGATTAGAACAGTGAAATGACCTTTAGAAACCTCAGCTACTGTGTCAGGCGGCTGTTCAATAGGCAGTGCTATTTCTCCCATAGCCAGGATTCACAGGTCCAGGGACCAAGGAGTGGAAATGGAAGTGGCACCACTCATTATTACCGCTAGTAATACATTAGCAAAATTTGGCTTTCTCTACCTTTGCCTTCACGTTCTTCTGGTCTGGAAGTCTTAGTTCAAAAGGGAGGAATGTACCCATCAACAGACAATGGTTCTATCGAACATTAAGACTGCCACTCAGCCACTTTGGGCGTCTCATGCCTCTGAATCCACAAGCAAAAAAGGAAGCTACCGTGCTGGCTAGGGTGGTGGACCCTGATTGCCAAGGGCAAGTTGAACTGCTTCTCCATCCATGGAGGCAGGCAAGGAAGAGTTATGTCTAAGCACAGGAGATCCCTTGGACATCTCTTAGAGCAACCGTGTCCTGAGATAAGTCAGTGGAAAATCAAGCCAACTCAATTCAGGATTGTTAATGATCCAGATACTTCAGGAATGAAGGTTCATGTACCCCCCCGCCCCCACCCACACACACACCAGGTGAATAACAAAGACCAGCTGAGGTGCTTGCAGAGAGCAAAGGAACATGGAACTGAGTGAAAGAAGGCAGTTACAAATACCAGACTTGTATGAGACCAGTTGCAGAAACAAGCATGTAATAGGTCAAGTATTTCTTCCTTTCTCTCTCTCTCTCTCTCTCTGTCTCTCTCTCGCTGTTAGTCTCTCTTGCTCATCTCCTTACTCCTACCACATAAGATGTATCAACTTAACAATAGCATTGAAGTTACAGGATGCTAATGGGAAGAATAGCCTCTTGGTTTGTGGATCGTGATAGTTTTCTTATGTTAGGCACAAGTGAAAAGGGGCCATGGTCTTTATGTGGAGCATGCTTAGAGAGATGTTTCTGAATGGCAAGTTGACTAAGATTGTACTATTTGGTGGGCGAGACACCCAGGTTAGGAGGTTGTTGTCTTCTTTTAAGTAACATATTTATAACAATGACCACAAACGCCCTAATCCTTTTTAAAACAAAGCTTAGCTTGCCCCTGGGTGGGCTCAAACCACCAACCTTTCAGTTAACAGGCGAACACGCTAACCGATTGCGCCACAGAGACACGGGAAGTATCATGTTTCCGGTTTCAGAATACACTAGGCATTCACTGAAAGCCTAGGTTTGGCCTCCTCGCTGCAAGATAACTGCAAACTCCAAGCTTCGGGAGTGTTTGGGACCCTGTCGCGTCTGTCCCGTTAGAAACCCTGACACCAGAAGGGCTGCCAAGTGGCCTTGGCCCCGCCTTACCCCTCGCCTGCTTCGGAAACAGCGCGCCAGGGACGCCCGAGTCCGCCACCGAGTCCGCGGGAGCCGTGCTGGGGCCCACGGGGTCCGAGCGCGCCCGTGGGCTCCGTGCCGGCGCTTCCCGCTCCGCGCTCCGCCCGGCTGCGCTCGGCGGAGTCCGTGAGGTCGGTGCGACTGGTGCGGGTGAGTGACCGCGCCAAAAGCAGACGCTGGAAAAGGAGCCAAAGAAAGCAGAGGCGTCGCTGAGACAAGGAGACCTCCCAGGAGGCCTGTGGGGAAGCACCGGCCAGATCCCAGGCGTGGGAATCATGACTGTGTGGAAAAAGCGGGAGGAAGAAGCGGAGACGCGCATGGGAGAGAAACGCTCAAGGATCTCTACCCGTCCAAGAAGGAGGCAGCGAAGAGAGTAGTTTGCTTTGTTTTTGAAGTCACAAAATGATAGGCGGCACAATGGTTGCCAGCAAGCTTCTCCAGCCTGGAGGTCTGCAATTCGAGCCCGGGACACCGCGACGTCTTCCAGCCCGCAGCTGGCAACATGAATGCTGTCGCTCGGCTTGGACTCCGGCAGCCACCGGAGCGGAGGCCCGAACTGATCCGAAGAGGAGTAAACCTCATTGTGCACAAACCCGGAGCCGGCCACGTCAAAGAAGGAAACTTGGACGTGCTCTTTGTCACAACTGGACGGGAAATACCCCCAACGGTGAGCTGCTGCCTCGCAGGGACCCCGCGGCAGGAGCTTCCACCAATGAAATAATGTGGTCCTAGCCATTCTCCCGGGACAGCTATTTCAAGTGCCAGTCGGACTTTTCCTTTCTTTCTTTTTTCTTTTTCTTTTTTCTTGTCTTTTCACAGGAAACCAGATTGAGCATTGAATGAATTTACAATAAAAAGCCAAATCAAAAGCCGTGGTCCAGGCTGGCTTGTCTCCACTCCCTGTATCCTAGTTTTTATGGGAACAATAAATTATTGCACTGCAGTACACATTGTAAATTGCTGCACTACGGTACAGCACTTTTTAGAAAGAGGTAATTACTGCGGTATGTTTAATTTTGATAAATGCAGTCAGCACCCAGTTCAAGTTACAGAAGATTACTATGATTCAAGAAAGG